AACACTAAGAAATTCATCGTACGTAATGCTTCCTCAGATTCTAGATAACCTCATTTCTACAACACTAAACTGTGAAGAGGGAATTCTTTTATTCAGAATTCTGAATAAATAATTTTTTCGTTCTCTCTATTGCAGGGAATACTACTAATTCTGGCAGTTGTTGCCTTAGCAGTACCCTAAGGATACAACCTTGGAGCACCCTCTACTTCAGGTCTTGCTTCCGGTCCTGGGTCTACTACTGGCAACACAGTGACCGATGTAGATTTCGTCAATGGAAGAGATGCATCTACTGGATGTCAGGATGGAGAGGTCCTTCACGTAGATGGGACAAGAAAGGTTTACGTATTCCTCCTCCAGCAGTGGACCTCCACATCTTGTTCGTGGGCCTTCCTGAGGAAGCACCTGCACCTGATCCCATCGTACTTCCTCCACCAAGGCAGAGCAACATCGTTTATGTGCTTAACAAGCAAGAAGAACAGGTCAGCGAGTGATCGAAGTATCAACTCAGCCACAAGATGATCTTAAGATTTATTTCGTCAACTATCTAAGGGGGCCGTCGTGCTCGAAAACGAAGTTCGTCACGTATGATCGGATTTTCGTGATATTTCAATATGTTATACATGCATAAAAGTGATAAATACTACCAAGTTTCATATCATATGGATGGTAAATAATGAAGTTATTTAAGAGAAACTTAAATATCTCACTTATCCATTGAACAAACTTGTTGAAAAATACCACATATACTCTATAGTCTATAGTAATACCTATATATTGTAAAAATACGGATTTTCGAAGCTCCTTTCAGTTTTGTGGGAATTTGTTTTTTATTCTAAATGTTCAGTCTTATGAACATAAGATATAATATATGGACTTCTATTACCTAAAATTAAAATTTTTAATCGCCAAAACATCATAAATTCATTCGGCTTTCAAATGAGCCAAACCTCATTAGAATCACCCAAATAGTTATGGAGAAATAAAAATGTTGACAAAGGCGTAGTTTTGATAGTTTTGAGATATCGGGCTCCAAAGTTCAGTATACTATTCCCTCGATGTTTTTTTTTTCTTTTCATTTCTTTAGAATTCTTATC